AGAGGGGGGTATTGGTCTGCCCATGGCCGGGTGGGGCCTGGGTTGTCCTGACCAGGCCGTACGGGAGCCGTTGCTTGGCTGGGAATTGCTGGCGGGTCGGGCGACGAGGTCTGGGGCAGCACGAACCGTGCGGTCCTGGGCCTCGAGCTCGGCTGCGATGCTGACGTCGATGCTGATCGTCGTGCGATGCCTTGCTGGTGTGAGGTTGTCACCAACGTGCCCGGCCTGGCAGAATGACGCTGCGATACAGGCGCATCGAGAGTCATACCGCCGTCGGACCGCTCGCCCGAGGTACGCAACCTGGTCGCTGCAGGTGATGAAGCCCCTGGCTCAGACTGGGGTTGCGACTGAGACAGCGATTCGACCTGCTGCGTCGCGGCCTGCAGCAGCTGCCCCAGCTCCTCGTCGTCACTGAAGAAGTCCTCGGCGATCTCGTCCGCAGCAGTCGCGTCATCGTCGGAGTCATCCCTGATGCCGTCGATATCCAGGATAGTCGTCACGGTCGTCTGGCTGCCCGCGACACTCGAGTCCTCCCCTGTCGTGCGTGACTTGTGGAAGAACGAGTGCAGCGACTTCGACGGCGACTCTGACTGCTTTGGCGGGAACCTCCCAGTCCTCCCTGCTGACGAGGGCGACGCGGAAGCACCCGCACCAGCACCAGCACCAGCGCCGAGCGTGCGAGTCTGCCTGCGTGTGCGTGTGCGTGTGTGAACGCGCGATCGCACTGGTGCCTGACTCTGAGCCTTGCGCGGCGCGCTGGGACCCCGCGCTGCTGAGGGCGCGTTCAAGCCGCTGCCGCTTGGCGCAGTCAGCTCGAGCTCTCCAGTCTGCGACTGCGATAGCGTCTGCGATTGCGACCGCGACCGGGCCACCGCTGTGCCTGACTCCGTCCCCTGCAGACTGCGCTGCCCTCGTTGGCGGAGATGTGTCCTGGCAAGCACAGACTCGGACGCGAAATCGGACTCAGACTCAGACTCCCCCTCGTCGAACGCATCTGCCTGCAATTGTTGTTGCTGTCGTTGTTGACGGTGTCGTTGTGCGGCTAGCGAGGGCTTCGTGAGCCGCGCCTTCGCACGCTTGGCTTGCCGTGCTGTCTCATGGCTGCTGCCGTCCTCGCTGCGCCCGCCATTGTCGGTGCTAGCATGGATCACGTCGGCACGGCTGCTGGTCTGGCCTCCTGCTGCGGCAATGCTGCTATCTGGCCGGGTTGTTGTAGGCGGGCCACCGGCATCGAGGTCCACAGACGACAACGGCGGCGACGACGACGCAACCGTCAACCGTCCGCGCTTACGCTTGCGAGTCTGGGCGGTGATCATGGCGCAGAGGAGGGCGATGCGCGGGCGAGTCTAGTCGGCGCATTGTTCGTGTGAGTGAGGTTGAGCAGGCGGGGGTGCGGGAGCTGGAGCTGGCACGGGTGCTGGCGCTGGAGCTGCGATGGCGACCCCGGCCTCAACGTGACTGGGGAGAGAGAGTTGGAGCTGGAGTTGGCACCGACGATGGAGGGCTGAGGCATGCCCGACTAGAGACGGAGGGAAGCGCTCATCGAGAGTATCGTTGACATGGTGGGTGAACCTTCCCAGTGACGAGGGTGAGTAGGGCGAGTAGGGTGAGGAGGTGGGAGTATCAATTGATGATGCCGTAAGTAGACGCGCGAGCAGCAGAAAAAAAGCCACCCCTACCCGGACTCGAACCGAGAATCTTTTGATTGGCAAGTTTCTAAGAATAGAAGTCAAACGCGTTAGCCATTACGCCATAGGGGTTTTGATTGCGAATTCTGCCGTGTGTGCTACAGTAGCGTAAACGACGTGGGTATCTAGCGACTCCCACTCGTGCCTCCCCCAACTAACCGACTAAATGCGCCTGTCGCTACTCGACCATGATGGGCCTTGAGGAAGGGATTGAGCCATGCTACGCCAATGCTCCGAGAACGGTGTGCCTGCCAAGTCACTGGAGCACAGGCTCTCACCCATGTCGGACGCGGGCCAGGGGCGTCAGGCCCCTGACATGACGGATCAAGGGGCGACGTCAGGGGCCACACCCAGCTTGTGTGATCTCTCTTCACGCATTGCCAAGGAGACGAGGTATTCGGAATCCGAGTAAGCGAGGGTGGCATTGGATGCACTGGATGTGGTCAATTGGCGTCCAATCCCGTAGCATGACGAGTCACTCGGATTGGGCTGACTCAACGAGCCCAGTACATCGCAGCAAGCGTCGCAGGGTTCGGTGTGCCCCGTCCACCAACACCTCGTAGCCCCCTGTCTCCGTGTGTGCGGTGCAGCTGCAGATGCACATGTGCCTCGCTCTTCCCTCAGCAATGTCTGTGGCAGGGCTGAGTGGACCGGTCTCGTGGCGTCTGAACATCGTTCCATGACTGCTTGGCGGGCCGGATGCCAGCGGCACCGCGCCGCCGCGCCCTGCTGCTGTAGCACATGCAGCTGCCCATCTAATTGCCGTCCATGCAAGTCCTCCACAGACGTGCCTGGCCCACGACGAGTACCACCCTCACGCGACGCCGTTCATCTCGTAGTAGAACTCGTCGTCCAGGCCCTCGCGAGTCGGCATCTCCGGCGGGTCGCGCATCAGCGCCGCGTCGTCGTAGCGCACGTTGAGCATGCGGATCTTGGCGCCAAAGTCGCTGATGACGTTCATCAGCCGCTCGGTCTCGGCGGTGACGTGCTGCTGGTTGAGCAGCATCAGCAGGCCGTCCAGCCACTCCGACGCAATGCTCTGCGACTGCGGGTAGAGCACGAGCAGGACGCGCTCGCCGGTGTCTGCGTCTGCGTCAGCTGCTGCGCCTGCCGCTGCGCCTGCCGCTGCGCTGGCGTCCGCGCCGCCTCCCGCTCGGCTCTTGTCGCCCTTCCCCTTCTGCAGGCGGGCGGCCGCGGCGCGCTGCCGTGACAGAGACGTGTACCCGCTGATGGTGATCTTGATGCTGTTCGGGGGCGTGCGCGCGGGCGACTTGATGGTGAGCTCGGACTCGTTCGGGTCGTCGTGCGGACCGCCATTCACGCCCGCACCTGTGCCCGCACCCGCACCCGCACCAATGCCTCAAATTCCCGTGTGCAGGCTATCTTTGAAACGATGCCTCTTGCGACTGCAGTGACACCGAGCATGATC